AGGGTATCCCGGTGAACAAGTGTGCAGTGAAAGTAGTGAGGGAACTTTTTTAGATTTTTTTAAAATGAATTTTAAAAAGTGCTTTTGGGACCAAAATGGCACACTTTGACCCCCATTTTCTCTGGATTTCTACAGTAAAAGTGAATGATATTTTACACAGTGGTAGAGGGCCCCCCAGTGAACAAGTGTGCAGTGAAAGTAGTCAGGGAACTTTTTTAGATTTTTTTAAAATGAATTTTAAAAAGTGCTTTTGGGACCACTTGTGCACACTTTGACCCCCATTTTCTCTGGATTTCTACAGTAAAAGTGAATGATATTTTACACAGTGGTAAAGGGCATCCCAGTGAACAAGTGTGCAGTGAAAGTAGTCAGGGAACTTTTTTAGATTTTTTTAAAATGAATTTTAAAAAGTGCTTTTGGGACCACTTGTGCACACTTTGACCCCCATTTTCTCTGGATTTCTACAGTAAAAGTGAATGATATTTTACACAGTGGTAGAGGGCATCCTGTTGAACAAGTGTGCAGTGAAAGTAGTGAGGGAACTTTTTTAGATTTTTTTAAAATTAATTTTAAAAAGTGCTTTTGGGACCACTTGTGCACACTTTGACCCCCATTTTCTCTGGATTTCTACAGTAAAAGTGAATGATATTTTACACAGTGGTAAAGGGCATCCCAGTGAACAAGTGTGCAGTGAAAGTAGTCAGGGAACTTTTTTAGATTTTTTTAAAATGAATTTTAAAAAGTGCTTTTGGGACCACTTGTGCACACTTTGACCCCCATTTTCTCTGGATTTCTACAGTAAAAGTGAATGATATTTTACACAGTGGTAAAGGGCATCCCAGTGAACAAGTGTGCAGTGAAAGTAGTCAGGGAACTTTTTTAGATTTTTTTAAAATGAATTTTAAAAAGTGCTTTTGGGACCACTTGTGCACACTTTGACCCCCATTTTCTCTGGATTTCTACAGTAAAAGTGAATGATATTTTACACAGTGGTAGAGGGCATCCTGTTGAACAAGTGTGCAGTGAAATCAGTCAGGGAACTTTTTTAGATTTTTTTAAAATGAATTTTAAAAAGTGCTTTTGGGACCACTTGTGCACACTTTGACCCCCATTTTCTCTGGATTTCTACAGTAAAAGTGAATGATATTTTACACAGTGGTAGAGGGCATCCTGGTGAACAAGTGTGCAGTGAAAGTAGTGAGGGAACTTTTTTAGATTTTTTTAAAATGAATTTTAAAAAGTGCTTTTGGGACCAAAATGGCACACTTTGACCCCCATTTTCTCTGGATTTCTACAGTAAAAGTGAATGACATTTTACACAGTGGTAAAGGGCATCCCAGTGAACAAGTGTGCAGTGAAAGTAGTGAGGGAACTTTTTTAGATTTTTTTAAAATGATTTTTAAAAAGTGCTTTTGGGACCAAAATGGCACACTTTGACCCCCATTTTCTCTGGATTTCTACAGTAAAAGTGAATGATATTTTACACAGTGGTAAAGGGCATCCCAGTGAACAAATGTGCAGTGAAAGTAGTCAGGGAACTTTTTTAGTTTTTTTTAAAATTAATTTTAAAAAGTGCTTTTGGGACCAAAATGGCACACTTTGACCCCCATTTTCTCTGGATTTCTACAGTAAAAGTGAATGATATTTTACACAGTGGTAGAGGGCATCCTGGTGAACAAGTGTGCAGTGAAAGTAGTGAGGGAACTTTTTTAGTTTTTTTAAAATGAATTTTAAAAAGTGCTTTTGGGACCAAAATGGCACACTTTGACCCCCATTTTCTCTGGATTTCTACAGTAAAAGTGAATGATATTTTACACAGTGGTAGAGGGCATCCCAGTGAACAAGTTTGCAGTGAAATCAGTCAGGGAACTTTTTTAGATTTTTTTAAAATGATTTTTAAAAAGTGCTTTTGGGACCAAAATGGCACACTTTGACCCCCATTTTCTCTGGATTTCTACAGTAAAAGTGAATGATATTTTACACAGTGGTAAAGGGCATCCCAGTGAACAAATGTGCAGTGAAAGTAGTAAGGGAACTTTTTTAGTTTTTTTAAAATGATTTTTAAAAAGTGCTTTTGGGACCACTTGTGCACACTTTGACCCCCATTTTCTCTGGATTTCCACAGTAAAAGTGAATGATATTTTACACAGTGGTAGAGGGCATCCCAGTGAACAGGTGTGAAGTGAAAGTAGTCAGGGAACTTTTTTAGATTTTTTTAAAATGATTTTTAAAAAGTGCTTTTAGGACCAATTTTGCACAATTTGACCCAAATTTTCTCCTAATTTCTACAGTAAAAGTGAATGATATTTTACACAGTAGTAGAGGGCATCTTAGTGAACAAGTGTGCAGTGAAAGTAGTCAGGGAACTTTTTTAGATTTTTTAAAAATGAATTTAAAAAGGGCTTTTAGGAACAAAATGGCACACTTTGACTCCAATTTTCTCTGAATGTCTACAGTAAAAGTGAATGATATTTTACACACTGGTAGATGGCATCCCAGTGAACAAGTGTGCAGTGAAAGTAGTGAGGGAACTTTTTTAGATTTTTTTAAAATGAATTTTAAAAAGTGCTTTTGGGACCACTTGTGCACACTTTGACCCCAAATTTCTCTAGATTTCTACAGTAAAAGTGAATGATATTTTACACAGTGGTAGAGGGCATCCCAGTGAACAAGTATGCAGTGAAACTAGTGAGGGAACTTTTTTAGATTTTTTTAAAATGATTTTTAAAAAGTGCTTTTGGGACCAAAATGGCACACTTTGACCCCCATTTTCTCTGGATTTCTACAGTAAAAGTGAATGATATTTTACACAGTGGTAGAGGGCATCCTGTTGAACAAGTGTGCAGTGAAATCAGTCAGGGAACTTTTTTAGATTTTTTTAAAATGAATTTTAAAAAGTGCTTTTGGGACCACTTCTGCACACTTTGACCCCCATTTTCTCTGGATTTCTACAGTAAAAGTGAATGATATTTTACACAGTGGTAGAGGGCATCCTGGTGAACAAGTGTGCAGTGAAAGTAGTCTGGGAACTTTTTTAGATTTTTTTAAAATGAATTTTAAAAAGTGCTTTTGGGACCACTTGTGCACACTTTGACCCCCATTTTCTCTGGATTTCTACAGTAAAAGTGAATGATATTTTACACAGTGGTAGATGGCATCCTGTTGAACAAGTGTGCAGTGAAATCAGTCAGGAAACTTTTTTAGATTTTTTTAAAATGATTTTTAAAAAGTGCTTTTGGGACCACTTGTGCACACTTTGACCCCCATTTTCTCTGGATTTCTACAGTAAAAGTGAATGATATTTTACACAGTGGTAGAGGGCATCCTGTTGAACAAGTGTGCAGTGAAAGTAGTGAGGGAACTTTTTTAGTTTTTTTTTTAATGAATTTTAAAAAGTGCTTTTGGGACCACTTGAACACACTTTGACCCCCATTATCTCTGGATTTCTACAGTAAAAGTGAATGATATTTACACAGTGGTAAAGGGCATCCCATTGAACAAGTGTGCAGTGAAAGTAGTGAGGGAACTTTTTTAGATTTTTTTAAAATGAATTTTAAAAAGTGCTTTTGGGACCACTTGTGCACAATTTGACCCCCATTTTCTCTGGATTTCTACAGTAAAAGTGAATGATATTTTACACAGTGGTAAAGGGCATCCCAGTGAACAGGTGTGAAGTGAAAGTAGTCAGGGAACTTTTTTAGATTTTTTTAAAATGAATTTTAAAAAGTGCTTTTGGGACCACTTGTGCACACTTTGACCCCCATTTTCTCTGGATTTCCACAGTAAAAGTGAATGATATTTTACACAGTGGTAGAGGGCATCCCAGTGAACAAGTTTGCACTGAAATCAGTCAGGGAACTTTTTTAGATTTTTTTAAAATGATTTTTAAAAAGTGCTTTTAGGACCAATTTTGCACAATTTGACCCAAATTTTCTCCTAATTTCTACAGTAAAAGTGAATGATATTTTACACAGTGGTAGAGGGCATCCTGGTGAACAAGTGTGCAGTGAAATCAGTCAGGGAACTTTTTTAGATTTTTTTAAAATGATTTTTAAAAAGTGCTTTTGGGACCAAAATGGCACACTTTGACCCCCATTTTCTCTGGATTTCTACAGTAAAAGTGAATGATATTTTACACAGTGGTAAAGGGCATCCCAGTGAACAAATGTGCAGTGAAAGTAGTAAGGGAACTTTTTTAGTTTTTTTAAAATGATTTTTAAAAAGTGCTTTTGGGACCACTTGTGCACACTTTGACCCCCATTTTCTCTGGATTTCCACAGTAAAAGTGAATGATATTTTACACAGTGGTAGAGGGCATCCTGTTGAACAAGTGTGCAGTGAAAGTAGTGAGGGAACTTTTTTAGATTTTTTTAAAATGAATTTTAAAAAGTGCTTTTGGGACCACTTGTGCACACTTTGACCCCCATTTTCTCTGGATTTCTACAGTAAAAGTGAATGATATTTTACACAGTGGTAGAGAGCATCTTATTGAACAAGTGGGCAGTGAAAGTATTCGCAAACCTCTTTTTGTTCTTTTTAAATGATTTTTTAAAAGATAAAGCATTTAGCTTTCTCGTCGTCACGGCTTCCCTTTCCACATTTACCGTAAGTAACAGCATAAAAGAGCCAACCGCATTCAAAGTGCGGACCTCTTTACCGCTCCCGACGAAATGCAGGGCCACTTTACCGCGGTCATCACTAGCAAGTTCTATAGCGTTTGTTCATGACGTCTGTGGTGTAGCTGTGCCCCGCGATGAAGCTCCTGGCCCGCGGGTGTCCCCCAGTCTGGCTTCCTCACAGGAATGGTGTGGACCAGCTGTCATGGCCCCTTGCCGAGCGTCGTTGCCCCGGTTCGGTAGTCTGGATGTAGGCGGGTTCTGAGCGTGCTGGAGCGTGGCTGCCTTGTCTACCTTTTGTAATGTACTAGCGTGAAGTAACTGATATCCATGCTTTGGCAAATTTACATTTCACCTGGGAAAACTTGCTAAGAAGTACAGATGATGGGTGAGAAACCTTCCTTTGCTTTGACTAATCCCTGTACGACTGAGGGCTTACACAAATTCCACCTGTATGAAAATGTTAACTGAAATGTTTTTTGTTTTTGTTTCGTTTATTCTGAACAAAGAAAAGAACTTAGCTAAAATAAATATGTTGTAACAAAAATATGCCTCTTTATCAATGCCCTTATCTGTGTTTCCTTTTAATTGTGATGTTTTAGCCGAGCTAAGGGTGAGCAAGCAGAACATCACATATCGACCTGCGGTTACAATAACAACTTTGACCGGCACGGTGGCTGGGTGGAAAGCACTCTCGCTTCTCAGCAAGAAGGTTCTGGTTACAAATCCTGGTTGGAACAGGGCCTTTCTGAGTGGAGTTTGCATGTTCTGCCTGTGTCTGCTCTGGTTTCCTCCGGGTGCTCCAGGTTCCCCTACCACTAAAGACACAATAGTTCAGGGTGACTGAGTGTGTGTTTGTGAGTGCGAATATGGGACAACGAAAGTATGTTAGCCCATGGCTACAATCATTAACATGCACTGTCCCAACCAAATAAACCATAAACAACCAAACTAATGAAGATGCATCCCTTTCTCTGTAACTATTTTAACAAATTAGAATGCTGTTTCATTTTATACAAATTGGGTGTGTTTTTTTTCTGCAGATCACAGCTTAAGTCGAAGTGCAATGGTTTTGAGAAAGCAGTGCTTACTCAACAAAATACTCTTCTGAGGTCTGTGCTGGTCTACGATGGCGACAAAACAATTACCAATGTCACAGAGAAGATTTTCAACACGTTTGCAAAGGTTTGTGGTCTTACAGGATACTGTAATGCAGATATTAAGTTTGCAAATACTGGGGTTCAACTCACTCTTTTAAGGAGACACCTTTTCCCCCCAAATATTACACACACAATGTGCACATGTTTGAGAAATATGTTTGAAGCAGCATTCCTGACAACATTGATTCCCACATTTCAATGTTCTTCTATTCTGCTGAGATCTCCTGCTGAGAATGGACATCCGTCTCTTTTTGAGAAAATACTAATTACTCAAACTTGCATGAATTGCAAAAATGAGTAATAAAGGGAAAAGGATATAATAATAAAAATAATATAATTTGGGGTTTGTGACCTTATCTATGTACGACATTATATCAGTCACTTTTGTATATTTCAATCAATAAAATGTCTTGAATTCTACAAACACACAATGAACATGTTTTGCTTATTTTAGACTCATCCTTTCTCAAACACTAGTTTGGGTACGTGTGCAGTGGTTGGGAATGCAGGAATTCTGAGCAATAGCAGCTGTGGAGAGGCCATAGACTCTGCCCAGTTTGTGATCAGGTGAGTGTGTGCCTCAGAGCCAAGATGTCAACAAAAACACACAAAAGCTAATTATGTATGGTTGTGTTGTATTGTGTTGTGTTTAGGTGCAACATGCCGCCTCTCGATGGAGAATTCACCAAAGATGTGGGGACAAAGACTAATATTGTAACATGTAATCCCAGCATTGTTGTAGAAAAGTAAGTCATTTTGTGAAAGTGAAAAAACCAAGAACACAATGGACACAGTGTTTGGACATTTTTGGACACTTTAAAGTAGCAGTATGCAATATTTGCATGTCAGCCGAGATATTTGATTGTCAAAACTGGTTTTACGACCCGTAAAAGTTGTTATTGTTTTGATTTTGATGTCCTACCCTCCGCCGTTTCGCCAATCAGGAAGTGTCATGTAAGTCCGTGATCGGGTTGCCAGAACTCCGCGCGGCTCATTCATCTCAGTGGTAAAATAACATGTGGCCGCAGAACTAAAAAAGGTCTTGTTTTGACTCTCAAATAATTAATGACAAAAAAAAGACTAAAACGAGGATTTATATCGGGAAACCTTTGAACAATTGAGACAGCTGATAAGTTTACGTGTGATGCAAAATTTACTGCTTTGAGTCAGTTAATTCTGTCCGCACTCATCGATGGTCTAGAGCAGCCATTCCCAAACTCAGTAACACCGAGGCCCCCTTAAAAATCTGACGGGTCTGCGTGGCCCCCCAAAATAATAACCAAGAAGACAACATTAAGAATAGGCTCTTCTGGTTATTTTATTTTGGGGAAATAGCCTCTGCTACAAACATTGTAATACAAAAATGATTACAGTGGATTATTCAAGTAAAATAATGAACACAAATACTTTAATATTACAAAGAAAACATTATAAATTTAACATTAAATAATAATATTATTTTTTTATTTTTTTTATGACCTCCCGCGGCCCCCCTGCAGTACCCTCGCGGCCCACCAGGGGGCCGCGGACCCCACTTTGGGAGACACTGGTCTAGAGGTTAAAACTGTGCGATCACGATGCAGCAACCCAAGTTCAAATTCTTTTGTTCGAATTTTTGTATTTAATTGCATGTTATCACATTCTATGACAGATTGCTCTAAAAACGGTAAAAGACGAAGGTCAAGACGTTTTTTTGCAGATTATAGCTTAATTGTAAAAAGAATCATTGAAGACCACATGTACCCCAATTTAAATAATGTTAGTCTCTTTTTGATGTGGGACTTTTACATGTTTGTCTAAAATTATAGGGAATAAATTAAATTGAAAGGTGATATCCTCTGGAGCAAACCCTGATGTTGATACGCTGAAGAAATACGTTCCAACATCCATTCTTCCCACTCCTATTTTGGACATCAATTGCTTATTTATTTTGGATAATATATAATTACATTGCTTTTATTTTGTTTTGTGTTTTTTATCTCAAATGTCCAAATAGAATAAAAAAATTAAACATTCATTCAGCATTAGCACAGCTCATGGCAATGTGAATGGAGACAGACAAACAACTGATAAAATAATTCCCTGTGTTTGCTGATGGATTTGGTGTGTATCTGGCAACCTGAGTCAGGGAGAGTGGGAGAGGACTACAAAATATTGACTGTGACTGAAGTACCACTTTTGGCCAGATTTTTACATATTGTTCCTTTAAATATTACTGGTTTCATTATGTTTCAGTAGTGGATATTTTGGGGTAAAAGTTGACATCCATAATCAATCTTTGAGTTTTTACTGTGGCAGGAAAACACTATTAACTTGATATACACTCATTGAGCCCATTCCAGCTAAATGTTGTATTTCTATTGCTCACAGGCCAACGGATAAACAGACAAACGCTAGGGATCACTTTAATATATATTGAACGAACCCTATAATTTTAAGAATTGATTTCTCAGACGTCTTCATTATTTGGAGGAAATACTCTACTATTGATAAATGTTGATACTTTACATGTAACGTGTCAATATCACGTATATCTAAGTGATCGTTGCTGTATTTACTATGTTTTCAGATATGACCGTCTTCTGAAGCAGCAACAGCCGTTTGCTGACTACGCTCGTGTCTATGGTAACGCTATGCTTCTCCTTCCCACTTTCTCCTACCGCTACACAACAGAGGTGCTTTTACGCGTCTTTTCCACCATCCAGGACTTTGAGCTGCAAACCCAACCTTTGTCCATGAACCCCCATTACCTCAAAAACCTAGATGAGTTCTGGAGGTCTCACGGCGTAAACCCCAAGAAAAGACTCACCACTGGTTTGATGATGACAAGTCTGGCTGTAGAGATGTGTGACGATGTGCATTTGTTCGGATTTTGGCCATTTGATCAGCACCCGCACACAAAACAACCTGTCCCTCATCATTACTATGACAACAAGCTGCCCAAACCGGGGGTTCACTCCATGCCAGCAGAGTTTGAGTTGTTGCTGCAGATGCACAAGAAAGGCCTCCTCAAACTTCACCTGGGACAGTGCCCACCTCCGAGGACATGAACTGGAGAATTTCATCATTTCATGTAGTGGCAGGAAGTATGTTTATTGAGTTTTGTTTTAATGGAGTATTTTTGTCAGAACATTGTTAGATCTGGCAGACGTACGCAATGTTGCTGTTGTGGAAAGATAGTTCTTCTTTATTTTTTCTTGTGCTAAATGTCACTAAAATGGTTGAGTCCAAAGACGTTAATCTTGTCCGTGTATTATCTGCAGTGTTGGGAATAACGCGTTTTGTACTATAAAATAAGGCCAAACTTGCATGCAAAATCCAGGTCCCGTCAGACTTCTGAAACTGTGCAGGATAGGGCCTGGTTAGTACTGTGATGGGAGACCTCTGGGAGCAGGTGCCACAGTGGGGCGGCTGTGGCTGGTTGTGTCTTTAGGCAAGACACTTGATCCACATTGCCTTGTGTGAGTGAAATTGTGGTTGCCTCGCGTCTGTCGGTGTGCTCCAGGGCAGCTGTGGCCATAGTCCAGATATCTTGAAAGTATGATGTTGTTCATACTGTATATGGAACATGTGGAATAGGGGTTTAACTTGATCTTAAACTTAATTTGGATATAGTTCTTACCTTTTTTCTTTGTTAAGCAATGGCTGGAGAATTAACTTAACTTAGGCCAATGTTTATGTATAAGGGTGATAAATTATGTGATAAAAGAGGCTGATACAATTCCCAATTGTACAATTGTACAATTGTACAATTTCAGGTTTAATTTTTGTACAAAAATAAGTCTCTCTCTCACATGCGTATATCGTTGAAGAAATAAAATTCCTCACTTAAGGGAATGGAATAATGGCACTCAAAGAAATGTACATTTTACAAAAGGCTTAGATAGAAAATACACATGACACACAAATGCTCTGAATCAATTTACATTTTGTTCATCATCCCATTATAAGAAATAGCTCAGTCTTACAGTACTGGACATTGACAGTGGAGTGACATGGGCAGACAAATAGCTCATACAATGCTTATTTTGTTATATTCAATTAATAAAAGTTACATAGTTTGTGTTAGTTACGGAATATGGATATATATATATATTTAGCTAAATGACTATCCTTCATTATTGAACTCCAATCATGGCATAGACTGGCCTCACACATTCAATTCTCAAAACAACTACTTTAAAGGGATAGCGACAACTTTGGGCATCATTTTTTACGTTATCATTTTGGCAAGATATGCCAAAATGAGCGTAAAGTGGCACTGCACAATGTTTTGCTTAGTCAGATATTAGGTTCCGTGTCATATCTTGCAAACAGGCGAGCCAACTCAAATCAAGTGATTGAGCAGGAAAACCTCTGTAATTGAGTATAACATGTTTTTGACCATGGCAACGAGAATGTGTTGACCCCATCAGAAAAGTTATGTAGTTTTCCTTTAAGCCTATGAATGAGGGATGTAAAATGTAGCCTGTCTTGTGTGTAAGTCAGGCCTCTGTTGCCCTCTAGTGGTACATAAGAGCGCCACAGTGTGTGATTTTTGTGTTGAATTAATTAGCTGAAGGGAAGATAAGACTTAAAATGTTTTCTTGCACCTGTATAGATCTTTTACTCTTACATTAGTGTTGTATTAAAATTATTTGCATGAATCCGGTCACTGTAGAATGAGAGTGGAAGTTAAGTGAAACATTCCAATCCAGGGTTCTCAATATAATATCATAATTGCTGACCTTTCACACTTTAAAACAAAGCATTATTTAATCTGAATGGAATAATAGATTAACTAGTTTTGACACATATTGTGTCAACAACAGTTTCACACTAAACCTAGAGTCCTAGACGCATGAGGGATTACACTAACATGTTATAACATGACACATTGTTTTTTGCGAGCTCTACATCTTTGCTCTACTTATGGAGATCTGTGCTCTCCAGGTGTGAGTTCCAAATTAAATTATGTTTTCCAGTTTACAGATGATCAAAGATCTGTCTCCTACTTTGGGCTGTAATGAAACAAATAAGCCATCAGGAGTGTTGTGTGAGGAAATGGTTTTGGCTGCGTTCCTATGGCACTTCCTGTCTGTAGAGTGGCTACACACAGCTGTTTGGCAGATGCCAAAACCACTCACAACAAAACACTCCTTAAAAGATACATACATTAACTACAAGAACACTGGAACACACAAAAAGTCTTATTTTTTCATTGCATCGTTGACTCGATAAGTAACAGTTTATAAAAATATACTATAGTCATAATGCACGTGTATTTACAATTAAAGGCAATTCAAAAAAAAAAAAACATACATATAATTATACAAAAACATTGATTTAAAAATGTTATAAAAACATTTCAACAAAAAAATCATCAACTTGGAATTTATTGTTTTGAAGTTCTCCAAAAAACAAACATTTGTTTTGAACATTGAATAGAAACACAAAGTTAGAAAAGGGTTGGTCTCTTGTAGGCATTGATCTGAAAGTCTCATGGCCACAGTATTCCCAAAGCTATAGGACCAGAGTCTGGTCTCAGTCTTGGCACAGACAGTGTTTGGTCTCACTGTGGGAGTAATGGCTTCACTCCATTACGTTTGACACTTGTTTTTGCAGCTTCTACACGACTGGAAGACTTAAGTGTCCCAACCAGCACGTTGCAAAGTTGCATAATGTGCCATATATTTCAGCTTTATTTTCCATTAAAATGGCCGCGGCACAATAATCTTCAGAACCCAGGCTTTGATAAAAACACAACAATTGCCAATCAGTACCACTTGATTTAGTTGCCCTGGATATAAACAAGTCTCTGTCCAAGTATGCTGCTGTAGTTTAGTAGTCATAACGATCTTGAATTCTTTTAGTTTCAGTTGTAATTTGGCACAAACGAATGTATTTTAACATTACTTCCCATCTTAGTTTCCTAATCTTAAACATCACACCATTATTTGACAAGGGACCGTCTACAGACAAGCTTCACTAGCCCGTCATTTTAAGCCACATCCATGTATGATATTTTACACAATAACAATGGCTGACTTGTGCATATTTCAATTCGTTTTGGCACATACATACAACGGCACTGTCTGAATATCATTTTTCATTTGCGGATAATATAGTATTAAATGGTCCAGCAGAGGGCAGCCTCACACAAGTCAGAATACTTGAGCATCGTCTCCCTTTCTATGGAACAGGAGAAATTAATTGCATGAAGATGTGCACCCACCCAAACATGGTGTTTCATCGTTGAGCTGTTAACTCAAATCCACAAACAAACTCACGATCCAGTGCAAAGTCACAGTAAAGGGTGCTGGACACATAGGGAACTGCCTCTGGGAAGGTAATGCCCTTATAGATGGACTAAGCCGCTTTGAGCACTGCATTTTCATTACATTTTCCACGTTATAGCATTTTGTTGACATGTTTTGATATATGAAGTCATTGCTTTCAGGCTATTGGATGTTAGGGCATAATCACTATTTTCTGTTCTTTTATACATGTGGGAGATTCTTCATTCAAATGTCACTACTTTTCTTGTCATTCTAGCCAGTGCGTGCGTGTAGCAGTCTCTCTCGGGTAAATTGCCTATGTCTAATTGGCTATCATTAATGTCAAAGGACTTCATGTGTTCGCAAAGCCTGAAATAATAAATTAATTAAAGGCGATCATCAGAGGTGGGTAAAGCAGACAGAAGCCTTTTGTAATAAAGATCATTGTGGTGTGAAATGGTCAATTAGACAACTACATAGAGCCGGTGATTACACTGTACCCATGTCTTTGAGAAGACATGTTATGTCCCAGTAAAAATATGTTATATACTGTAAGTAACAGTTGTGGTGAAATATAGATCATTCTGTTTTGTAATTAAGAATTTATTTTAAAAAGTGCACTCCTACTCCCTAGCACTGGAACTAGAAAGTACAAGCCATTCGGTCGACATTAGCTCAGTTGGTAGAGCCTGTAGGCCTGAAGGTCGTGAGTTCAATTCCCACCTCGACACCTTCTCCACCAACTCCCACTGATGACTGCTGTCGGTGTGTCCTTGGGCAAGACACTTAACCCCAACTTTGCACAAAAGCCCCTGCTGAAAGATCAAGGCTATGCTCACACTCAGAGAGCAGCAGTCCTCCTGTGGACTCACCACCTGCAGGAGGATCAGTGAGGGGCTGGTGCTATGTGACTTGGGTGCAGCTCTGACTGCCAACCCCCTGACCCAGAAACGGATTAAGGGGTAGAAAATGGATGGAGCATTACAATAAAAGCTTTAGTTGAATCTAATATATAACCAGTGGCCTGGCCTGTAATAGTTGCCTGTTTGATTGATAGGGGAAACAAAAGGAAAGTACTCGCTCCTCACCTCTGAATAACTTTTGTTACGGGGTTTAAAGGCAAAAAGTAAGACATATACGTACATGACAGTCCATCATCAACTCAATTCTTAAACCACAGTAAAATGAACACACTCATAGGCTCCAGCTTATAGGATTCAATAGGCACCGTGGTGTTTTAAAAAGTCAAACTTTTCTCTTATTTACATGTCATTAAAAGTCCATTCAAATCCAAACCGATGGCTTGCCTTCTGCCGATTTACTACTACTGCTATTACTGCTGCTGCATCCTCCGCTGCTTCCCCCTTTACTCGTGTGTTTTAGTCTATGCTTTTTTTCTTTCTGCGGCTGGCTTTGAGGCTGCGGTTGTGCCTGGATGATGATGTTGCTTTGGGGTTTGTCGTCCTGGCTGTCCCCCCCTTGCTCTGGCTCCTCCTCTCCAGCCTGGTGCTGCTGGCTGTAGGCCTGAATCGCCGCTTCCAGTTGCGCTTGCTGGATCATGTCCTTGTTCAGACCCACCCGAGACCCGCCTCCACTGGGGAAGTTGTCCTCATTGCTTCCAAACTGTTGCTGTTCCTCTTGGGCGATGTTGGCGCGGTTCTGCTTGCAAGCCATCTTTGCGTTGCTCAAGTCCGTGTACGGCATCTGCTCTGGCTTCACCACAATGTTGTAGCCGGGAGGGGCTGACGGGGTGTTCCAGGAGAAAGGGTATCCTACGTAATCGGCTGGTCCGTCTCCGCCGACCCCTGCGTCCGACCCTGCTTCGGGACCCGGACCGCCGACTGAACCATCTACGTTTGTATTCGAGCCTAAGAGTCCTAACTGGTACTCATCCTCTGGTGGTGGGGTGCGCCTTCTGCGAATAATGTCACATATTGAGCCAATACCTAAATGGAGCATCTCCCAAACGTTCAAAGTGAGGCAGAGGATGGTTACTCCGTACATGATCCGAAGGAAGATCGTTTTTTCGGTCGGGCGTGACACAAAACAATCAACGCTGTGCGGACAAGGGTTACCGGAGCACACAAAAATCGGCTTCACCCTAAAACCGTACAGCAAATATTGACCCGCGAGAAAGCTGGCCTCCAGCACGGTCCTGGTGATGAGCTGGAGGACATAAACACGCATCAGCCCTTCGTCCCTGATTCTCCGCCGACCATCATGGCGGACTTTGGGTCTGGGTGTTGGCTGTAGAGGGTCTCTGGGTCTTTTCGGAGGCTCGATTTCAGGTACTTCATAGATCATAGGGTCATCTTCCTGCATGTCTTCTTCTGCCTCCTCTATCCCTCGATGCTGTCTTGCCCCAAAACATATCTTCCTAGGTTTTCTGTGCGTATAACCTCCTGCAACTCTAATAGCCGTAGATCCAACTCCTCCTTTGGCCTCTTCTAATCCTGCTATCTTGTTAATCGCATATCCCATGTATATGAGTGAAGGCATTGCCACCAAGATGATTTGGAAGACCCAAAAGCGCACATGGGACAGGGGCGCAAAGGCGTCATAGCACACGTTCTCGCAGCCCGGTTGTCCCGAGTTGCACACAAACTTGCTCTGCTCGTCGTAGTAGATGGACTCTCCCCCGACCGCAGTGAGGACGATGCGGAAGACGATGAGCACGGTGAGCCACAGCTTCCCCACGAAGGTGGAGTGGTTGTGGATCTCCTCCAGCAGCCGCGTGAGGAAGCTCCAGCTCATGGTGTCGCTGGACAGTGGGGCAGACAGTGTCCCTCTCTCACCTGCTCACAGACTCTGCACAGACACAAGGACACAGGTAGAAGTTAGAGATGTGTGCAAGCAAAAACACGTATTGGACTCCATGAAATAGGGCTGAGATTTGTACAATGTAGTAGGGGAGGCAAATCATAAGTCTGACCTTCTAATAGCTCTGTAATCATAATGTATTTCATATCATGTCTGATTTCCGAACAGGGGATAGTCCAAATGCTGTATTGTGTATTAATTGTTAATTGGCACATTGGTCATTTAAATTTGGTGTGCAGATTAGAAAAGCTTTAGTGGAACACAATGAAACATTACAATAATTAGTGCAAGGCCCGTAGGAGGTATGTTTTACGATAGTAGTAAATTATATGGCCGTTATATGCCATGGTCACCCATAGTAACATAATTGTATCATCAATGCTGTAAGTTAAATATATTTAGCCTAAAAGTAAATCATTTTGGGGGCTGCTTAAAATGGTTGCAGCCATCAACAGATAAAATGTTGATGAATTGATAAAATGCAGAAACCATTGGTGCAATTTGGTCACAAAAAAAGAGCATCCTTTTCCATTATAAATCAATGGGCAAAATATTCGATTTTCACTATATGAAAATCACCTCCAACGACTATTTCAAAAAGACCACAACAGCCAAACAATCAACCCCCTCATGTCCATGGTCCTCTTCCTTCACAAGGGAATCTGCGCCTCATTGCTTTATTCAGACACAATACCAGCATTTCAAAATCTCTTTTCCTCAATGATCAACAGCATCATTAACTGACCTGGCATATCACCTTGCAGTAAAACACAAACAGCCGATTAGAGAATAAGATTTAGGTTTACGAATACAGCTGCCTTTTGATTTGCATGAGCAGTTTAGTGCGATCTGATCTGGTGTGAACACAAGGACAAATGATAATAGACAAAATGCTGGTACGACATATTCTCAATGAACTATTTTAGCTGCATTCCCGCCGTCAGAAGGCTCATGTGAGGTTGCTCCAGTTCAAGTTTTGGGGGAATTAAAAGAGTGTACCGAGCGCTGAAAGGATATTGGTATTAAGAAACCACCGCAGCAGTGAGTTGAAGGCGTAATAATCTAAAAGAGCAGTTTCTCTGCCGCACACACATTTATTTAACTCTTCTCATCGCGTTCAGCTGAAATAAATCCTCTTAGTTCTCCCTCTTCTCTGTGAGGTGCAGTTCCGGGGATTGTAGGGAGCGTGACTGGCTTGTTTTGGTTCAGAGGTGGAGTTAGAGAAGTGATAAAGAATGTATCAATCATTTTATGTTTATTAAATGTGTTCCAACTAATCAAATGTATTGCAAAAAATAAGAAGGGGAGGAGCCATTAAGCAGTGTTTTCTGAGGTAATAATCCAATCAACATTAAAACATTAAAACATTAGATAGGAAGCCTTTGTTTTATCATTACTGTAAAATTGTAAGTAAGTATAACATTTTAGATTTAGTTTCTGGATGTTTGCCTTATTTTTAAAGTATTAAATGGACTTGCTCCTCCTCCCATAATGGATTTTATATGTAAATAATAACAACCGTGGAGTCAGAACCAGAGCACTAACCAGAGGAGACTGCAACATACAAAGGCGCAGGACTAAATTCAGCCAAATGGTGGCGTCCATCAGAGGCACACCATTATGGAACACTTTGCCGGAACACATTCAAAACTGTGGGACCTACCAAACATATAAAGGAGTCCTCAAACATTGGTTGAATTCAAACCAGTAATTCTCCCATGGATAATCTGCTCTTCCTTGGGCTTTCTCTTTCTCTCCTCTTTTAAATTCTTTATGTCTTGCTTGTCGACTTACAGTATTGTTTGTACTTTTACTAACCGTGTTTGTGTGTTTCTTACCTGCCTTAGGACAATGGATGCAATTTAGCTATTGTGCTAATTCCAGCATATTTATGTTGACGCTGTTTGCAGACACATTGATGAATATGTACTGTCCTAAATAAAAATAAATAAATAAATCCAATCCACTTTATTTACATAGCACATTTTATAAAACAAGTTAAAGAACAAAGTAAAGAATACAAATATTATAGTAAAAACAATAAAATACAAGTTAAAAATAAAAATTTGATAAAAACAATAAAACCAATAAAAATAAAAATTAATGAATGAATGAAAGATGATCAAAATAAGCATTGGACAATATAGGCTTCTTGTTGGATGGAACTGGAAAAATATTGGCTTAAACAAGAACCCCCTTGACTATAATGTGTGTAAAATTTTATAAAACCATGTAAAAAATTTGCAAAACTACTACTACTTCAGGATGTGATTACCACTGTACCTTTAGCTTCACACCAAGTCAAAATTCTCAGCTACTGCACATAAACATACAAATCATACAACATTGAAAAAATAAATAAATGAAAAAGAACATTGAGCTACCCCGCTTCATGCTTTTGTCTTGGAAGTCTGTAAAGAGTCCAAGTGTAACTAAAATGACAGAATCCACATTTCAGCAGAGGGGACATGTCTCAGATGTGGGTTAGCTCTGTGCTCCAGGCCGTCCATCCAGACCAGCCCATCCAGCAGGTGTCCCGGCACGGCTCGCTGGAGCGGAGACCAGTATTAACCTGAGCACTGGAGCTGAACCTAAACACTGCTGCTGTCCCACCAGGGTGACTTTGGGCTAAACAAATGACCATCACCACCTCCACACGTCATATACACTGCCCTGAACTTCTTGGAGTTTATCGGTCTCTTTAATCACACTCTAACATTTAAAGATGCAGTCAGTGATTTTTTCCAGACGTATTTTTTTTAAATATTGTGGGAAAATGTCTATAAACCCTAAAAGTAGTCAATTATCATGTGTTTTCAAATAGTAATGGAATTGACCAGATGCCTATAGTCTCCAAAAATTAATACAAAATATTTTGGAGAGGACCGATAAAAATAAACCAATGGCATTCGTTCATCCCCAACGAACCAATGGGATGGGTTTACCCCTTCACCCTCTTCCTTCCTGTTTCTCGCGAGTGTGCACACCGGAGTTATCGGATTTTCTAAAATCTAAAAGGGCTGAACAGAAAATACCAATTTTACGTTTGCCGCCCACTCTCCCTGTTGTGACAAAGAAAAGAAAATGCTGGATGTTTGGTTTGGTGGAGAGGCGAGCAGAGGGGCTAGTGGTTTCGAGTTGGTGCTACGGCTAAGTTAACAAAATCGCTTACTGCACCTTTAAGTAGAAAAACAGGACATGGACGCTTTATTCAAACACTGCTAAAACTAATGCAAGAACCACACATTTACAAGGAACACAATAAAGCCCCATTGGATACAAAATAAGAAGTTGTTTGGGGAGGATTGCAGTCTTTGGAGTCATCCCATAGCAAGTCCCACTGCTAGCAAGATTGCAAATGGCAAGAGACCACGCCTGTATTTAAAAAAAATTAATTTATTTAAACTATTCAGGAAGTGTGGGAGAGCATTTGAATATGTTCTAACTAACTTAAATGACAGTCACTTTAAATCTAAAACCATTGGAAGCAAATAGGCTGTTGTTTCATATATCTTTCAAGAAAGTTAGCATTAGTGGTTGTGATTATTTTCCTTACATTTAAAAACTAAATGCCATATTAACTGCGATATGGATCTGAAATAGCTTAATCATACAAGATGATCCAATGACTTGCTTACTTCTTGCTTCTTAGACGTACATTTATTATATACTGTGGCATACATTTTTTAACCCTTTTAACTTGAGGTGACATAAAAAACTGACATAAAAAAATAGATTACTTAAACATTAAAGAATCAAGGACATTTCAGCTGAAGTTTGAAAGGTACATAGTCATAACATATCTCATCTACTCAGAGGGTCTAGTTGTTGAAAATTAAATACTATATTGTGTGTTTTGTAATGCACAGACTGCATCTTATCCCTCCCGGGCCGTTTACTGTACTCTCTGTTTTATGTCTACAGTGTGACAAGAAGAGGCAGGTTTGTTTTGAGTTTGTTATGAAACATGCGTGGCCTATTGATCATCATGACCATATATGGGCACGGCTGGGACGGAGGATGTCAGGAATCCTTCGCGTCCGCAGAATTCCCCACAATGGCACTTTGAGCAGCAGAATCAGTCTGTGACCCACATGTGAGTAAGCAGCGCATTAGCAGTCAAACCCGTGCACATGCTCAATGACTTTTCACTCGTTGCGACATTTAATTACTTTACATAATTCCTATAACACACAGTCGTACTTAAGCGAGTCATGATCACTGAATTCACATGTGAAATTATGCAGATGAGCAGAGGTGAACAGTGCTCTGGACACGAAGCACGCAAAGTCTACGAGCGACGAGGCTTTAGAACCGACTGTGGCATAAATGTAATGTAACATGACACTATCCACACGTTGTTGTATCTGGATCTGTTGGCCTGGATAGAAACAGGAAAGTACAATACAAAATCCACACACAATACTAGGACTTAAAGTAGCAATATGTAAGATTTTTATCCTACATATCATCCTTAGTCATCCTTAAATGGCCTTAATCTG